GGCTCCAAGTCTCCAGCAAAATTACCAGTCTACAAGAATACAGTTTAAGTGCCTAGTTTTGTTAAGTAGTGAATCTATTAGAAATCAGTTGACGGCTGGACGAGGTGGCTCACACCTATAATCCCAGCACTTTGGGAGGCTGAGGTGGGTGGATCACTTGAGGTCAGGCGTTCAAGACGACCAGCCTGGCCAACATGGTAAAACCCTATCTCTCCTAAAAATACAAAAACTGGCTGGGTGTGTTGGCATATGCCTGTAATCCCAACTACTAAGGATGCTGAGGCAGGAGAATTGCTGGAACCCAGGAGGTGGAGGTTGCAGTAAGCCAAGATTGCACAACTGCACTTCAGCCTGGGCAACAGGAAGACTTTCTCAAAAAAAAAAAAAAAAAAAAAAAAAGCCGGGCGCAGTGGCTCACGCTTGTAATGCCAGCACTTTGGGAGGCCTAGGCGGGCAGATCACGGGGTCAGAAGATCGAGATCATCCTGGCCAACATGGTGAATCCCCATCTTTATAAACAAAACAAAAAAACAGTTGATTGTCAAGTCAATCAGGAAGAACCTGAGTACCCACTAGGTGCATAGCACTATTCTAGGTTCTTTGGAGAATGCTAGTAGAACAAAGAGTCTATGCAATTGCAATAAGAGGAATTAAAATGCATATAGGAGTAAGTGCCAAGTCCCTGGTGTGGTAGGCCAGTGATTCTCAAACTTTGCTGCCTGTTAGAATCTTCACTACACATTCAGATGACCTGGGATTTGTTTTTTTTTTTTGAGACAGAGTCTCACTCTTGTTTTCCAGGCTGGAGTGCAATGGTGCTATCTTGGCTCACTGCAACCTCTGCCTCCCGGGTTAAAGCGATTCTCTTGTCTCTTCCCAGGTATCTGGGATTATAGGCACTTGCCGCTACATTCAGCTAATTTTTGCATTTTTAGTAGAGATAGGGTTTCATAATGTTGGTCAGGCTGGTCGCAAACTCTTGATCTCAGGTGATCCACTCACCTCAGTCTCCCAAAGTTTTGGGATTATAGGTGTGAGTAACCACACCTGGCCTACCTGGGGATATTTTTAAGATCCCAATGCCCAGATCATGCCCATACCAGCTATGTAAGACTCTGGGGTCTTAGAGTTGGGCTTTAGTTAATTTTTTCAGACTTACCAGGTAATTTATACAAATCACCTGGGGAGTTTTCTTAAATTTCAGATTTGGATTCACAGATCCGGGTTGGGGGGGTTCCAATTCTGCAATTCTTTTATTTATTTATTTTTGTTGTTGTTGTTTTTAATTCCTTTCTTTTCTTTTTAAATTAATTTTAATTCTTTTTTTTTTTAATTTAATTTTTTTTTTTTTAAAGACAGGGTTTCACCATGTTGGTCACGCTGGTCTTGAACTCCGGACCTCAGGTGATCCCTCCCACCTTGGCCTCCAAAGTGCTTGGATTACAGGCGTGAGCCACTATGCCCGGCCTCTTTTATTTTTTTTAAACAGGATTTGGCTGCGTTGCTCAGGCTGGAGTGCAGTACAGGCCTCCCATGTATCTGGGCCTAGAGGCCCATCCCCAGGCAGATTCTGCATTTCTAACAAGCACGGGTGATACCAACCCTGCTCATTCACTAATCACACTTTTAAAGTAACAGGGATCTAGACGAGGGGTTGGCAAATTATGGCTCATGGTGACCAAATAATAATTTTTACCTTCTTAAAGGTAGAACTCTTGAACTCTTGACCTTGAACTCTTGAGCTCAGTTAATCCATCCACTTTGTCCTCCCAGAGTGCTGGGATTATAGGTGTGAGCCACTGCACCCAGCCAAGTAATTTCAATAGGGACTGATATGGTTTGGCTATGTGTCCCCACCCAAATCTCATGTTGAATTGTAATCCCCAGTGTTGGGGCAGGGACCTGGTGGGAGGTGATTGGATCATGTGGGCAGTTTTCCCTTTGCTGTTCTCATGATAGTGAGTTTTCATGAGGTCTTGTTGCTTAAAAGTATGTATATTTCCCTGCTCTCTCCTTCTCAACCATGTGAAGAGGGGATTTGCTTCCCTTTGCCTTCTGCCATGACTGTAAGTTTCCTGAGGTCTCCCAGTCATGCTTCCTGTTTAGCCTGCTGAACTGTGAGTCCATTAAACCTCTTTTCTTCGTAAACTTCCCAGTCTCAGGTAGGTCTTTATAGCAGTGTGAGAATGGACTAATACAGAGACCATGCAGCTGGCAAAGCTGAAGTATTTCCTTGTCTGGATCTTTACAGGAAAAGTTGCCTTCTCTTGGTCTAGAGAAGCACTGTCCAATAGAAATCTCATGCAAGCACATATGACGCTTTACATTTTCTAGTAGACACATGCTTTAAGTGTTAATTCTTAAAGCCTAATGGAATTATGGAATTGACTTGAGCTGTTATGCTGAAGTTTTTGCAAGGCACCACTTCTGGTCAAGGCATGAAACACGGTGATTAAGGAAACAGAGATTATAGTGCTGCTTGTAGCCAGGGGTTTGAAGTGTTTGAGGGTGGTTCGTACCAGCCTGTCAATGTTATTTATAACAATTAAATTGATCATTTGCTCCTGGTCTTGGTGAGAACAACGCACCAAGAGGGTCCTGCTGTTGAGGCTGTCTGTGGCAGGAATACACCCACGTGAAAAGCAAAGTATGAAAAAACCTGAGATGCCATGTTGGACCCTGATTCCAAGATGCTCTATACACATATCCCTGGTGCTCTGGTGGGGGGAATAGTGTGTCCAGCCGCAGCCCCTAGAAAAGGGAGGATTGTGGAAGCCTGCACCTGGTTCTCCAGAGCCTTTGCTGTGAAATACCCATTGGCTGGGACACATGTTCTTAATTTAATGCTATTGCTATACTGAATCCTTTTCTTGTAATAAACGAGGTTGGTTAGAATTGTCATCTTGGGTACTGTGACTGTCTTTTAGCCATTGAACCCTGTTGAAACTGCCACTGTTAATGCACATATTATGAAAAAAAATGAAATTAATTTTAATTATGTTTGTGTGTGTGTGTGTGTGTGTGTGTGTGTGTATAATTGTTTTCCTCTGGTCCTTGATCCAGGATATTTTAATGATATATTTTACTTACCCCAGTAGCATATCCAAAATATATTGACATGTAATCAATATAAGAAATTAATAGATATGTTACACTTTTTTTCACACTTATTCTTCAAATTTCAGTGAGTGATTTAAATTTACAACATATCAGGCCAGGTATGGTGGCTCATGCCTGTAATCCCAGCACTTTGGGAGGCCAAGGTAGAAAGATCGCTTGAGCCCAGGAGTTCAAAACCAGCCTGGGCAATATCATGAGACCCCCGCCTTAATAAAAAAGACAAAAATTAGCTGGGTGTGGTCGTGCATGTCTGTGATCCCAGCAACTTGGGAGCCTGAGACAGGAGGATTGCTTAAGCCTAGGAGGTCAAGGCTGCAGCAAGCTGTGATCATGCCACTGCTTCCAGCCTGGGTGACAGAGTGAGACCCAGTCTCAATAAATAAATGGTTTATCAAGATGAGAGTGAGATGAAAAGAGAAAATAAGTAAATAAACAAACAGTTTGGGCTAGTGACATTTCAAGTACCTAATGGCTATATGTGGCTACTGGCCACTGTATTATTGGCCAGTGCAGTGGAGACCAAGATGACCCGTGGTTGTACATCCACTTTCTCTTCTTGAGCCCATCGCTTCCCTTCCTGGGGCATTGCTAATCCCAGTGTTCTTTAACATGCAGTGCCTCAGTCAACCACAGATCTCTATCAATCAATTGGAATTGTGTGTCAGACGAAACTGGTATACCTTCCTGGTGTAGACAGCTTCACAATAAGTCAGGGAAGTGCAAAATCAGATTTGAGTCTGTTGGTCAATGGATTTTCTCTGGAGGATGTGGCTGGAACATTCTAAAAGGGAGAACAAGAAAAGGCGCAAAACTGGAACTGTGGGGTCGGGTGAGGGGAGGGAGAAAAGCACATTGGCACCTTGACACCATAAACAGGTGATATTTTTAGGCAGGGAAATAACAGAGTGAACTTGATGTTTTAGGAAGATGAACTTGACAGCTGCGGGTAGGATGAATTGGCTAGAAGCATTGGAGACACTCCCAGATGAACTATTTAAATTCCCCAGGAAAAGTTACATGGATTTATTTCTACTTTTTTTTGGGTGCTTATCGCCCATCATTCCTCCTTTTTGAGATTGAAGTGTAAAGGGCTGTTTTGAGTCCTGGTTTGTTGATTACTCAATCTGCTCATTAATCACCAGAGATTCGTCCATGATTCTAGTTGTTCCATTTCCTTTAAGCAGGCGTCCCCAAACCTTTTACACAGGGGGCCAGTTCACTGTCCCTCAGACCGTTGGAGGGCCGCTGCATACTGTGCTCCTCTCACTGATCACCAATGAAAGAGGTGCCCCTTCCTGAAGTGCGGTGAGGGGCTGGATAAATGGCTTCGGGGGGCCACATGCGGCCTGTGGGCCGTAGTTTGGGGACGCCTGCTTTAGGGGATGATAACTTTGTGTTGTGAATGGCACCTTTATCAAATTAAGAGAAAATGAGAAAGCAGCTTTGTGATAACAACTTTGAGACCAACTAAAAGAAAATAACTGACTGGGCATGATGGCTCATGCCTATAATCCCAACACTTTGGGAGGCTGGAGCAGGCAGATCACCTGAGGTTAGGAATTTGAGATCAGCCTGGCCAACATGGCAAAATCCACCTCTACTAAAAATACAAAAATTAGCTGGGCGTGGTGGTGCGCACCTGTAATCTCAGCTACTCAGGAGGCTGAGGCAGAAGAATTACTTGAACCCAGGAGGCAGAGGTTGCATTAAGCCAGGATGGTGCCACTGCACTTCAGCCTAGGTGACAGAATGAGACTTCATCTAAAAAAAAAAAAAAAAAAACCATAAATACATGAAAAGAAAATAACAATTTGTTTAAATATAAATATTGGTGAAATATTTTTCCCTTTTAAAAAGTAATGCAGACCCCTTCCGCAGTCATGGTTCTTCGGTATCCTATGGCCGTGGGCCTCAACAAGGGCCACAAGGTAACCAAGAACGTGAGCAAGCCCAGGCACAGCCGCCGCCGCGGGCGTCTGACCAAACACACCAATTTCATGCAGGACATGATCCAGGAGTTGTGTGGCTTTGCCTCGTACAAGCGGCGCACCATGGAGTTGCTGAAGGTCTCCAAGGACAAACGGGCCCTCAAGTTCATCAAGAAAAGGGTGGGGACATACATCCAGGCCAAGAGGAAGCGGGAGGAGCTGAGCAATGTCCTGGCCGCCATGCGGAAAGCTGCTGCCAAGAAAGACTGAACCCCCTCCCCTGATGTCTCCCTGAAATAAAAAACAGCTGCACCCCAAAAAATAAATAAAAATAAAAAGTAATGCAGTGTAAGGTATATGTGAGTTATATAACAATTAAGGTTTTTGTTGTTGTTTATTTTGTTTTGAAATGGAGCCTCAACTCACTCATGTCACCCAGGCTGGATTGCAATGGTGCAATCTCAGCTCACTACAACTTCTACCTTCCCAGTTCAAGCGATTCTCCTGCCTCAGCCTCCCAAGTAGCTGGGATTACAGGTGCCCACCACCACACCTGGCTAATTTTTGCATTTTTAGTAGAGACAGGGTTTCACCATATTGGCCAGGCTGCTCTTTAACTCCTGACCTCAGGTGATCCACCCACCTGAGCCTCCCAAAGTGCTAAGAGCTAATCCCAGGTGTGATTAGCTGGGATTATAGGTGTGAGCTACTGCAAGCCACCACACCTGGCCTGTTTTGTTTTTAAGAGATAGGGCCTTGCTTTTTCACTCAGGCTGGAGTGCAGTGGAACCATCATAGCTCACTGCAGGCTCCACCTCCCAGGCTCAAATGATCCTCCCACCTCAGCCTCCCAAGTGCAGTGGCTCATGCCTGTAATCCCAACACTTTGTGGGACCGAGTCAGGATGATCACTTGATCCCAAGAGTTCAAGACCAACCTAGGCAACATCGAGAGACCCCCATCTCTACAAAAAATTTTAGAAATTAGCCAAGCATGGTGGCATGTGCCAGTAATCCTCGCTACTGAAGAGACTGAGGTGAGAGGATCACTTGAGCCCAGGAGTTCAAGGACTGTGCAACTGCACTCCAGCCTGGCTGACAATGCAAGACCCTGTCTAAAAAACAAAACCCAGGCCGGGCGCGGTGGCTCAAGCCTGTAATCCCAGCACTTTGGGAGGCCGAGGCGGGTGGATCACAAGGTCAAGAGATCAAGACCATCCTGGTCAACATGGTGAAACCCCGTCTCTACTAAAAATACAAAACATTAGCTGGACATGGTGGCGCGTGCCTGTAATCCCAGCTACTCAGGAGGCTGAGGCAGGAGAACTGCCTGAACCCAGGAGGCGGAGGTTGCGGTGAGCCGAGATCGCGTCATTGCACTCCAGCCTGGGTAACAAGAGCGAAACTCCGTCTCAAAAAAAAAAAAAAAACCCAGTATTTGGGATGATGAAAATGTTCTGGAACTACGTGGAAGTAGTGGTTGGCTACACAACATTGCAGATGGACTAAAGAGTCCATTAAACTGCCAATGAATTGTTCATTTTAAAATGATTAATTTATGTGAATTTCACCTCGATTGAAAACAAAAGTAATGCAGGACTTCTGCTTTGGGGATGGGATAGACATTTTTTTTTTTTCCATTCCTTTTGCTAAGTACAATTGTAAATCCTGGACATAAGAAGACTGAAAGGGAGAGAAACAAGGGAGACCAGCCAGGGACCTCAGGACCTGGGAGACGGCACTGGTGTGTTCCCTGGATTTTCTTTTGGCCTCACACATCCCAGACATGGAGCTCAAGAAGCCAGCAACCCAGAAACAGCAATGCACACAAAAATTCCCCCAACAAAAACTTCTCCCTCTAGCCAAAGGACCAGGAGACAGTCAGCATAGGAGATAGTAACTGCTCTGCTCCAGCCAAGCACCACAGAAAACACAGTGGGCACCTGTATTAGTCATGGTTCTCTAGAGGGACAGAACTAATGGGAAAGATGTATATATCAAGTGGGGTTTACTAAGGAGTATTAACTCACAATCACAAGGTGAGGTCCCACAATAGGCAGCCGTCTGCAAGCCAAGGAGCAAGGAAGCCAGTTGGAGTCCCAAAACCTCAAAGTAGGGAAGCCCACAGTGCAGACTGCAGTCTGGTTGAAAGTCCAAGAGTCCCAAAGCTGAGGAACTTGGAGGCCGATATTCGAGGGCAGGAAGCATCCAGCACGGGACAAAGATGGAGGCTAGAAGACTCAACTAGTCTAGTCTTTCCACGTTGTCTGCTTTTTTCCTTGCAGCTGATTAGATGGTGTGGTGCCCACCCAGACTGAGGGTGAGTCTGCCTTTCCCAGCCCACTAACTCAATCTCCTGGCTGGGCATGGTGGCTCAAGCCTGTAATCCCAGCACTTTGGGAGGCCGAGGTGGGTGGATCACAAGGTCAGGAAATTGAGTCCAGCGTGGCCAACATGGTGAAACCCCATCTCTACTAAAAGTACAAAAACTAGCTGGGCATGGTGGTGGGCACCTGTAATCCCAGCTACTCCAGAGGCTGAGGCAGGAGAATCGCTTAAACAAGGAGTCAGAGGTTGCAGTGAGTCGAGATCGCGCCATTGCACTCCAACCTGGTGACAGAGTGAGATTCCATCTCAAAAAAAAAAAAAAAAAAGTTAATCTCCTTTGGCAACACCCTTACAGACACACCCAGGAACAATACTTTGCATCCTTCAGTCTAATCAAGTTGACACTCAGTATTAACCATCACAGCACCCCTATGTCAGTAAAGGCAGAGGGGAAGCCTGGACTTCCACACTTGTTCGACTGCACCAGGTGCCTCAGCCTCCCTTCCCAGCTGCAGTCGAATCAGCAGAGGCACAGCAGGCAGCCAGAGCTTCCACCTCCACCCAGCATAAAACTCCTTAAACCGTAACTTAAAATGAGTGAATGTCAGTGTGTGTATTATATGGCAACAAGCTGTTGAAAAAAAACTAATACATAGGTGACGTTACCTGGAAGGTTACACAAGAACCTTCTGTCATTGTCGCCGGGAAGGGGTCAGAGATTTGATTCGAGAGAAATTTTTGTCCAGTATGTGGTTCCCACAGTTGATAGTTTTTTGTCAGGAATTTTGAAAACTATTTGTAAAAATACTTCATGTGGTAAGAAAAACACTTAGGTTCATGACGTATGTTTAAACAAGTTTTAAAATGAGCTGGGCGTGGTGGCAGGCGCCTGTAATCCCAGTTACTCGGGAGGCTGAGGCAGGAGGACTGCTTGAGCCCAGGAATTGGACACCAGCCTGGGAAATATAGCGAGATGCTGTCTCTACAAAAATTAAAAATTAGAAAAAGAAAATAAAGAGCAAGAATCTGGGGAGAAAAAAAAATTAGCCAGGCATGGTGGTGCGCACCTGTAGTCCCAGCTACTTGGGAGGCTGAGATGGGAGGAGCACTTAAGCCGAGGAGTTCAAAGTTATAGTGAGCTATGATTGAGCCACTGCACTCCAGCCTGGATAACAGAGACCCTGTCACACACAAAAAAGTATGAGCCAGGTGCAGTAGCCCACAGCTGTAATCCCAGCTCTTTGAGAGTGAAAATGGAGAATTGCTTGAGCCCAGGAGTTCAAGACCGGTCTGGGCAACATGGTGAGAGCCTGTCTTTACAAATTCAGCTGGATGTTGTAGTGGTGCGCACCTGTAGTCCCAGCTACTTGGGAGGCTGAGATGGGAGGATTGCTTGAGCCTAAGAGGGCAAGGCTTCGGTGAGCTGTGATCATGCCACTCTACTCCATCTGGGACAACAGAGACCCTGTCCCAAATTTAAAAAGATATATATGGAAAATATAAACACTCAGGGTTTGATCAGTTCCTGTGGCAGATTGCATTTTGTTTCTTATTTCTATGCATCACATTTTTTCATGATTTTATAGAGTCATGATCCTACTGCATATAAAATTTTGTAACATATTCTTTTATCTGCCACTGTAAACTTTTTTTTTTCCAGCTGAATTAGTCTCTTTTTATTCTCTTGGTAATCTCCAGTTACTACTTCCGTTATAGATGATGAAATGGGTAAGGCTCCACTTTCAGATGTTGGCACTGCTATGAGCATGGTCTTTCCCTTTATTGCAACTCACAATCAAAACCTTTGATTCTTTTTTTATATTCCAGTCCCAGAAGTAGTTTCCACTGTAGAAGTTAATTGATGAGTCTTATTCTTTCTAGCAGTAGCTTACAACCAGGCTCTAGCTTCTCCACGAACACTATAGGATTAATTTAGTTTAAATATGTATTAAACTAAAAGGCATTCTCTCAAATGAGTTTAAATGCATTTTATTTTTAGAGAACCTACATGACATGTTTTTCTTAGAAACAATGCCTCCACTCCAAATAAATCACGGTCAAAACAAATGAAGATCTCAAGGTGACATCAGTCCCATTTGTCTTAAGTCCTGGTGTGTGGATGACAAGCAGAAGCCAGTTATGATGATAGGTGATAGATCCAAAGTAATTGCCAAATTTGTTAATATTTTTCCATTTCTAAACCATCCTTAAAGAAAATGATATATGGGGTCACACCATCTTCACGGTAGTCCAATAGAGCAACCATGCCATCTAGATTCATGTTTTCACCAATAAAGAACTGGTAGTTTTTGAAATTAGCAAGGATGTGCTTGATTTGTTCTGCAGCCCCTGTCATAAAAGGTTTTACTCTTTCTGGTCTCTGCTCTTCAAGTTTGCCTTTGATTGATTTCATGTAATCTTTGATATACTTCTTGTAGGCTTCTTTTGTGAAACTTGTTTCCTGCAGGTGATGGTTCTGACAATATCGACACCAGTGATTACTGTGCTTTCGGTACCTTCGCCCTCGGGGCCTTCAGCGGAGGCATTTCCACCAATAAGCGAGTCATCAATGTTACCTTCTGTCCTACTGACCATCTTCCCCTCCACCTCTAGGCACAGCCCGTCCGCGATCTCCCGGATCTTGTAGATGTCAGAGAACATCTCATCGTGGCTGATGAGATCCCGGTAGATAATCATGATGGCGGCTGACGGGAGAGGACGGCGGCGCTAGCTTAGCAGGAGCCCGAAGCTCGGAGCGAGCGCTGTGCAGCCGGAGCGGCGCTAGGGGGGAGCGGGGAGCGGGCAGAAAAGGCCGACTCAGCCGCTCCCCAACCTCATATAGAGGGCACGTCTCTTACGTCATCGTTCACTCCACTATAAACTTTTAAAAATATTATTTTTAATGATCGTGTTTTATTTCACTGACAGCAGTAAAAAGACCAC